GCCCTTACATGTTTCGGTCCTCAGAGACCATCTTCAGAGGGACACCTTTACATCAATACAGTTAGAAGCCACTATTACACTATATATTCTAAAAGTTAAAATATATACATACAATATAAATAATATACAATTGAATGTAGAATATAAAGTCTTTACAACTATAGCGGCTGTTCCAATATATTAAAATATTTATAGTTAGTTTGATAAGATTATTAGAATACGTAAACCAAGCNGCTGGTTCATGTCGTCCCTCTTATTATTTCTTTTTAAGGGGGCCAAACGTGTGCCACCTTGTCATTCTCGAGATGAGGGTTCTGCAAATATATTATGGGTATATTGTATTATTTCATCAATCCTATTATGTTTTGTAAAGACTTTTGTTATTTTGTCCTACATTTAATGTTGTCCTGTATGTGTCTCTGGCCCACTCTGTTGCTTTTACTGTTCTAGGTTGTGTTGTACCGCGTATTTATACTCCTCGTGTCTGTGACGTTAGTGTGGGCATGTATTGATGTTGTATTATGAGGTCGAAGATGATATACTGGTTGTCACTTTCCTTTGTGTGTTTTTGTTCTTCTATCAATTTGTTGAGCTTATTAAAGCGATATATAGGGTGGCAAGGGTATCCCTCTCAAGATGGTCTCTGAAGACCGAAACATGTAAGGGCATGAATAACTGAAATAAGAAAATCATAACCAGTCACACTGAACAGAACTATTTAACTTTTTCATAATATTAGTGTGACAGACCAAAATGAAACAATTCTAATTAAATTACTTCTTTTAGAAGGTTACCCCAGTGGCTTTCTTTTTCTTTCCTTTTCGGCAGAAATGTGAATGGAAATAAGTTTTATATCTTCATAACTCCAGTGCTCTTCACAGTGTTGCTTACTCATACCTGTTCTCACACTATTCCATCGACATCCTCTTTCTTAATCATCCCTATTCATGGACTGTTTTATAGTAAATACATATTCAGCAAAAGCAAAAATATCAACTGCATGTCACTTACCAGTCAAATAATAAGTCAGTTTTGTCCTCCCGCTCATACCAAATGAGGACAGAATTGAGGAAACTGAGAATGCAGTCAACATAATCTGATGGAACAGTTCCCTCTAACTGATTCAGCCAGAATGTCACCATTACCAGTTTCTCCCTATCCATTGTTACCATATCTGGCCTCATATCTTCTGACTTTAGAGAGGACTGAAATATCTATAACAAAAGAATATTGTCTGCAAATATGATGTATGCCAGTTGGACACTTGGATGTTAATATATTTGGATGTACTTTTTGTTGTTAAGTTATACTCTTAGAATACAAAGATTCCATGGAAATGATTCACCCTAGATAAGCTCACATCCACTCTGCTGGTCACAAAATTCTTTGCCTTTACAAATTCCAGAAGTTCATTCCTGTGTTCACAAGAGCCTGTCAATGGACCCTCTCCTGAGTCAGTTCAATGAGGTCCACACTTTCACATTACACAGGGGGTGGACAAAATAATGGAAACACTAAGAAACTGAGGAACAGAATTTATGTGGGGTATAGTGAAAGAACTTCAGTTGGCAACACTGAATGTTCTTCTTCTGTTTATTTACACTCTGTAGTGCTCATGCAAGTGCATTAGTGATTGTGTTGAGTGACAGTACATGTGAAAGAATCAAAAATTGGGAGGCCTGTCTGATTTTGAAAGTGGACAGATTGTTGGTGCACATTTAGCTGGAGCATCTGTGACAAAAACTGCCACAGTATTAGGTGTATCAAGAGCAAAAGTTTCCATCAGTATCATGGTATTCTGTTGCTCCCATTATTACCCTTCATGGCTGAATTACTGCAAGGGGGTACATGAACAGTTTGAGTAATCAGGTGCATCCCATGATCCAGACTATTTCTGAAAAACAATGCAGTTTTC